TAGCGCCGAGCTGGTCCCATCTTCATAGGGTATACTACATATAGTAGTAGTAGTACTGTTTCGTCAGTTTCTATTGAATCAGATATAATTTGGACTGTATCATTCTGGTTTTGATTCTGAAAAATACGTTCTGTTGAATATCATGCTCCATAATCACTTTTTGTTTTTGTAGTAATAATTTATCTGTTATAATAGAGCTACGAACATTATTTTGCCGGCTCGATTCCTTTTTTTAGTATGAATAAACACCTGTAAGTACTAAACTTTCTCTCAGTGGCTGCAGAAAAGTAAAGACATCAGAGCAACAGCTAAATAATTCAACCTCTATTTCAACTGAGTATTTTTACACATTGCTTGACACCAACTTAGACAGTCTACATCAAAGTCTACATTTTTAACTGACATCCAAAAGTAGTCGAGAGCCCATAAACCCGATTTGGCGCAATAATTTGTTACATCTGTAAAAAATGGCTTCTTTATTATTGACAAACTGAGGATGTTTGTTAGTGATATTGTTGATAAATTCCATATCGGCTATGTGTTCTTCATTGATAAGGTGCTCTCCCAGGAAACAAGGGTCCAAGAGATTCGCGGCAAAATGCATTGGTTTAAGGGCCATACGTTTTCTACTTCGTAATGCTGAGAAAGCATTCTCTTTCTTCTTGATTTTAAAGAATAAGGCAACTTGTACACTTTCGCTTAAATTTTATGCTCAAATGTTCTTTGATTTGTGAAAAGGAAATTCTTTGAAAGAATTCGGATTGTTTGCGAATACGCGATTTAATGGCGACCGAAATATTTCGGAAATTTCGGAAATTTCTGCAAAATTCGAATGGAAATATTCGATACCAACATCACTACACACAGTAAACATTTTTTTTATTTTATAGAGTTCATATATCATTGTTACAAACGGCAAAAGAACATCTTAATCGTTTGAGTGAAATGGACTCTACAGTTTCCGGAACTGCGCAATTTACCGCACTTTATATTGGCGCGCAAATACAAATTTTGCAAATTTTAGATAAGGGATTTTGGGTACAAAACAATATATACACGGTTTTTATACTTACTGTTTTGAGGTTATCATATTTTAGGTTAACCCAGCGACACTAGCAACTCAGCAACTTAACACATTGAAAACGAACATTCAAAATCTTCTGGAACACTGTTTAAAATTACAGTTCTTTTTTGTCGGCTTGAATTCTGCCGAACAGTGTGCAGTGAAACAATTCAGGTTAAGAGCTTTAGCTTTAAATTTGGTTTATATTGTTAAAGGTCAGTTAAAGTTATAAAAACTCTACTGAAAGTACACTAAAACTTAATGATTTTAGGTAGTAATTCTTCTGCCCTAGCTCCTTGTCATCATTTTTTGACAGCTGTGGAGGGTATGCAAAAAGATTTGGCACAAAGTAACTTGCAGCCAGATAGTTTCACGTCGTTGGTGTTTCGGGAATTGTCTCAATTAGAAGAGCACAAACCTGGCGCAGTGGCCAGGATATTAATCCCTATATTGTTGGAATCAAAATTAGGGCATATTCCCAAACCAAATATAAATGTAAGTTCTATTTACTATCTCTATGATATATTAGGTTGAAGTTTGGTGATTTTATAAGCTATTGCAACAAGTTTGATATCTAAAAAATCGTAATTTTTTAATGTCTCATTCCTATACAGATCAGAATGAGTTCTGCCACAATAGTCGAGCCAAGTGGCCAAACTGATACATCTCTTAAATTTACGGCTGGTTTAATCATGTCGGTACCGTTCGAAGCAGAGTTGCGGCACCTAATCGATCCTAGTAGAATTCGGTTGAAAGTTAAATATCCTGACCAGAAGATGCAAGTTCTTTTACCAAAAGTTCAGCATTTGAAGCCTCTGTATTATGACACAACTAATGAAGGTAAGATCGTGATGTTAAATATATATTTTTATTTGCCGCAACATATGTAATTAACTAGGTTTTTAAAATTTTGAAAGCGTACCAAGATAACAAGAAATAGAGATACCTAGATAATGATTTAGGTACCTCTACTTTTTACTACGCATTTTGTGTTCTTTTTTTTTCTGATTTGTCTTCAGTTTCCTTGAGTTCTGGTGGGGTACTATTGTTCAAAAAGTCTTTATTATCGATACTTCTAGACAATATTTTGGCTGATGTTTATTCTGGTTTGAAAAACAAATAATTTTTAAACAATACATGTATTTTTTATGGTTTAAAACATTTTTTATTATTTTCAATATAATTTTAACTTAAAAGTCAAGATTATGTGAAAAATTTGTTAACTTAACACTTATTTTAAAATATAACAGGGTGGTCCGAACTGTATTCCGGAAACTTCGGCAGCATATTTTGCAGATAAAAATAAGTAAAAAGTTCGTATAAATGTATGTCTTAAAATGCTTAGTTTCGGAGATACAGGGTGTAGAAGTTTCATGTTTATTTCGATTTTTTCCAAATAATTTCTGAAGTAAAGTCAATATTTGGATTACAATTGGTGTCTGGGAGTTTTTTGACAACAGAAATTTGGATTTTGATGTCAATATAACTCCTATTTGTAGGGGGCGCTACCTATATTTGTTTTAACTGTTTTGAAGAGTAATAACTTTTCGTCCGTACCTGTATAAAACTACTGACTGAAAAAATATACATTTCCGTGATTTTTTAAGTAAAAAATGTCTTTTGGTAAAAATCGCTACGAGCAAACGTTCTCAAGATATTTAAAATGAAAATAGTCAATACATCTCTTTATTGACAAAAAATAAACATGTTGAGTAGATAGTTATTTGACTGAAATGATAAATTTGGGAACAGTTTAATTTTTTAAATTAATCATAAATTTTTCTTCATAAAAAAATGATAATAAAACAGTTTCTGACGAACTTTTTTCACGAAAACATTTTAAATTTATGATTTCAGTTTAATAACTATTTAGTCAACATGTATATGTCAATGATGACAGATATTGATATTTCGGTTTTAAATATCTCGAGAACCATTACTCGGTAGCGATTTTTACCAAGAGACATTTTTTACGTAAAAAACATAGTAAATGTATATTTTTTTACTCATTAAGGTACATTCAGGCTGAGAGCGTCGCGTCGCGTTGGCGTCCCGGCCGCCCCATTGATCTCGAACCCCGACGCTCAGCGGACGCTAGCGCAACGCCAAACGCGACGCTGTCTGCCTGAACGGTCCAATTAAAGTTAAGTGAGTTGATTCCATTTCGATACGCGGACGCGACGCAAAGGCGACGCGACGCTCGACGCTTTCAGTCTGAATGTACCTTTAGTTTTATACAGGTACGGACGAAAAGTTATTACTCTTCAAACGAGTTAAAAAATATCTAGATGGCGCCCTCTACAAGTAGGAGTCATACTGACATCAAAATCAAATTTCTCGTGTCAAAAAACTTCCAGACACCAATTTTCATCCAAATATTGACGTTACTTCATAATAGTGATGGGTTGTTATTTAACTATCTTTTATAACAATTATTTAGAAATAACATAACGCAACCGTTACTACTTTTAAAAAATAACAGATATAAAATAACGATACGCAGAGATCGACCGTTCGTGAAACAAAGTCGGCGCTCTGCACCGCCACGAAATTCGATGCTGCTCGAAGCAATTCCAAAAAACAACTAGTATGGATATGGATTATGGATAGAAAACATGTTATTTCGACAACCATCGATACAGGCGGCGAGATACAACGGAGTGGGGTATGCGCGGCGAACGTAGCTGCATCGGTCGATGGTCATGTGGGGCTTGCAACAGCTTAAAAATAATAGGATATAAAAGAAGCAGCTTTTTTGAAACAGTTGCGGGCATAACTCCTGGGGGTCGAGATAACAGGAGTGGGAAAGGAACTGCATCGGTCGATTGTCGAGGCTCGCAACGGGTTGGAGAAGCAGTCACATTTTAGATAAGTTGTTTTTTAACCTGTTACGAGCATAACAGAGCGGCGGTCGAGATAATCCGAGTGGGAAAGTAACGCTGCTGCATCGGTCCATTGTCGATGGAGGTTCGAAACAGGTTGGAGAATAACGCATCAGTTGTTTTAGATACATTGTTTTTCAACCTGTTACGAGCATAACGGGCGGAGGTCGAGATATTATGGCGCTGTATGTTTCAGTACTTACTTATTAAGTTTCAATATTTAGGTATTTATTTATTCTGAAAAATTTTCAGAATGATATTTTAAGATTTTTTAAAAATGTATATAGGGTGTTTTGAAAAATTTGGTCATTGATTAATCACGATCCTGCTTAAAGCCTTGACGTAAAAAACTGATTTTTGGAAAACGGATTGACTTTTGGGTATAGAGATTCGTTAAGAAGGAATTTTTCGAAACTCGAATTCTAAGGGGGTGAAACCACCCTCAAATATTAGAATATTTTTTATTTAAAAACCGGTGAGTTTTTCGAATAAACTCTTAAACACGTATATTTTATTTTGTTGTTTTACATATTTTAAGATTTTTTAAAAATATATACAGGGTGTTTCATAAAATATGACCATTGAGTAATCACCATTTTGCTTAAACTGCTTGCCGTTTAAAGCTGATTTTTGGCAAATGGATTGACTGTGAGGTTGTGGTTCGATAAGGAGGGGTTTCTCGAATCTCAAATTCCAAGAGGGTGAAAACGCCCCTCAAATATTACAATATTTGTTATTTAAAAAACGATTAGTCTTTCGGGAAAACGCTTGGACACGTATAATTTATTTAGTTTTTTTACATATTTTGAAATTTTTTAAAAAATCATACAGGGTGTTCCAAAAAGTTGAGTAATTGATTAACCACGATTCTGCTTAAACTGCTCTACGTTTAAAGCTTATTTTTGGCAAATGTGAGAAAATTTTATCCAGTTTGTATGTTAATGGAAATTCTTGCTTTGCTTTATCATTACCATTACAAATTATTAATTCGACTCGAACGAAGTCGCGGGTACACGCTAGTTTAAGTGTAAAATTAATTCGAACTCTAGTGTGTAGTGGGTTTACTTATGAAGAATATACTACACATTTTCTTATATTGCTATTTTTTGACCGCAAATGGTAAAATCATAACTAAGAGCTTCTCGCCCGTCGAATGAGATGCACCGTGTACATTGCTACGCAAGTCAGGCGGATCGAAGGGCAGGGCGTAGGTAGATCGGAATGTATAAACGAGTGGCGGAATTTTGGCTTTTTTATATCGCAATTTGTAAACAGCGCTTATTTGTAAACAACCACCGTTTTTAGAGAGGTATTTTAGATAACGATCCATATTTAGAAATGTTTTGACACCCTGGAAATACTACCACCGAGCACGTCATTGTTGCAACTTGCAACTGCGTTAATACGCCTGGCGGTGACCGCCTCATACTCTTTCAGATATTTAGCAATAAAATAAAGAAACCTGTTATTTTTAAGCTGTTATTCTAAGCTGTTTTTTTATAAATAACTATAACAGTTTCAACTGTTATCTAAAAATAACAGTTTTGCCCATCACTACTTCATAAATTATATGGAAAAAGTCGAAATGAAAATGAAATGTCTACACCCTCCCTTATATCTCCGAAACTAATGTTAACACTTATACGAAATTTTTTACTTATTTTTATCTGCTGAATATGCTGCCGAAGTTTCCGGAATACAGTTCGGACCACCCTGTATAGTATGTATATTCAAAATTAAGGAGTATATTATTTATAGTAATTCAATTTTTAGGAGAACTTAATGGTACTTTTCCTAGTTTCTTGCACAGCATAATAGGTTCAAGTGATTAAGTACCATGTTTCTTATTACTTGTGTTATCAGTTTTAAGTCCTTTTTTTCTATTATAATGAGTTGAACGATTTTTTTCTTGACTATATTAGATTGAGGTGATTAATTTGTTTTTTAGACTTTTTTTTTTGTATTTTTTTAGAGTTGTTTATTTTATTAAATAGTTGAAGTATACATACTAAACATGTTTTGAACTGAGACTTAAAGAAATATTTAAAATAAGTAGTGGCGTGTTGATGTGTTTGCAACTCTGTATTTATTTAACATAATTTGTATTGTGTTATTATCGTTAGCATATATATCTCGCCTTATTTTTTATAGAATCGCAAATTGGACACAACTTGAGACTTTTGAGTTCCATTTTGATTTCGCATCAGGTGTGGTCAGAAGCATGCAATGTAGAAATCAACGTGGCTCTGTTTGTTCCTGAAGGAGATATAGGCAAACGAAAAACGAATTTGGATTTGAATCCTTCACTTTTAGATCTTTGCCCGTCTGTAAAAGTCAGTGTGGCTCCTAAACCCATCAAAAAAACCCTGTAAATTATTTTTAGGTTATAGAAATATATTTTAAGTATTTAAATACGTAAGTGTTTTTTCTTGCTCTTTAAAAATTGAAACAATAACAATTTAACACAGCGAACTATTTAAAGGATTAAAAATTTGAGAAAAGTTAAATTATATTTAATTTTTTTGTATATAGGAAAATAACTATTATAATATACAACTATTGGATCTATTTCTACGAAAGGAACTTCAAAAAGGCAGTCAGAATATTGGAGTATGATCAATTTACTACAAAACACATTTAAAAAAAAACAGCAATATATTTTATAGATCGCTACCTATATATTACACGTGGAATTGACGAGTATGTCACCGCAAAACACACTAATATTTTTGACGTTATCTAAAATATTTATGACACAGTAGTTGTATTCATAGAAAAAGTCTAATAATTAGCTTATAAAACAATACACTTTTTATTTAACCAAATTATCCAAAATTTCTCTTGGCGGATGATAATCAAAGGCCAAAATGACATTACTCGCAAATTTTGAAGTATAATTAGTGTAACAAAAAATAAGTTTTTGACGTTCTGATTGCTTGCGTTCAAATTAGAGTAACAAACTTTTTAAATCAGTAATTTATTCCATTAATTTCGATGTTCTGAATAAAGTTTAAAATTAGAGAAATAAGACACAAAAAATTAATATAAACATTTACTAAAATATAAATTTAATTGCTTACAACTAAGGTCTTTTAATTGTTTTCTTAATATAAAAAAAATCAATCAGGATATCTTGAGTACGTTCGAAAATATATCGAAAGTGCAGTACAGATTGCAAAATCTGCCACATCTTTAGTAGCAACATCTCCAGCTTTCTTCAATTTATCAGTAAAACACTGTTCCAAAACTGAAACAATTTCAGTTACTAATGCTGTAGCCTTCTTTACATCTTCTGCGATATGGGCTGGAGCATCTTTAGTATCTATCTTTCTCGATTTCTTCAATAATTTTGGCGTAGCATTTGATTTTTTTGAATTCGTTTCCACTTCAGTTATCGATGTCAGAATCAATAGTGTTTAAGTATTCTTCGATCTTCTTGATGCTGTTCAATGCATCGTTCACGTATCCTTGGGCCTTTTGGACTTGATACTGGTGATACATTCTCCCAAATCGGTCACAAGTTGGTCTGGAACGTTCGAGAAACCGTCGACATAGCTTTGGCAGTTGGACACATCAAAACCTGAAAAGAGATAATAAAAATTGATATTAAAAAATTAGGCTCCATTTAGAACCTCGAAATTAGTCGTTTTAATTAGCGGTAGTAATTTTCAACTACTAGAAAAAGTTAACAAACTTAATTTTTTTAGTAACTGTACTCCAAATTTACGAGTAATGCCATTTTGGACTTTGATTTTATGCGTCAAGAGAAATTGTGGTTAGAAATCAAAAGTTAGTAGTTTGTAAGCTATATAACTATTAAGGCTATCTCTATGGTACAACTGGATACCGTATGCTGTAGCTAGGATATTCTATTCATTTTAATTGTATTTTTTCACATTGTGAATGATCATACATTTCTAAGTATAAAATATTAAGCTTCATTCAGAACCTCCAAATTAGTGGAATAAATTAGTGGTTTCAATTAGCGTAGAAGTTTATTCCTCCAATTTAGAAATCAAAAGTTTATTATTGTTTTATAAGATAAATATTAGACATTCTCTATGGATACAACTGACTACCGCAAGCTGTTGCTAGGATATTCTATTAATTTTAATTTGCGTTTTTTAGACATTGTGAATGATTTTGTAAACTAAAAAGTATAAAGTGTAATTGAAACTACTAATTTATTCCCCTAATTGCGAGGTGCTGAATGAAGCTTAATTGAAACTACTAATTTATTCCAATAATTTTGATATTTTGTATGAAGCTTAAAATTAGAGAAATAAGACACAAAAATTTAATATAAACATTTACTAAAACATAAATTTAATTGCTTACAGATAAGGTTCTTTAATTGTTTTCTTAATATAAAAAAATCAATCACGATAATTTGAGTACGTTCGAAAATATATTAAAGTGCAAAGACAGATTGCAAAATCTGCCACATCTTTAGTAGTAGCATCATCTCCAGCTTTCTTCAATTTATCAGTAAAGCACTGTTCCAAAATTGGAACAATTTCGGTTACTAATGCTGTAGCCTTTGTTACATCTTCTGCGATATGAGCTGGAGCATCTTTAGTATCTTTCTCGATTTCTTCGATAATCTTGGCGTAGCATTTGATTTTTTTGAATTCGTTGCCACCGCAGTTATCGATGTCAGAATCAATAGTGTTTAGGTCTTCTTCGATCTTCTTGATGCTGGTCAATGCATCGTTCACGTACCCTTGGGCCTTTTCAACTTGAGTGGTGATACATTCTCCCAAATCGGTCACTAGTTGGTCTGGAACGTTGGAAAAACCGTCGACGTAGCTTTGACACGTGGATACGTCAAAACCTGTAATAGAAATAATAAAAATTAAGTTACGTTAATAAGTTAAGCTTTATTCAGAGCCTAGAAATTAGTCATTTCAGGTAACGTAGAGGTTTGTTCCCTTAATTTCAATGTAATCATTCAGAACGTCAAAATGTGTAAGGGGGCTTCTTTATAAACCTCGAAATTAGTGGTATAAATTAGTTGTTTCAATTATACTTTATACTTAAAAGTTTAAAATCATTCACAAGGTCTAAAATAATCAATTAAAATTAATAGAATATCCTAGCAACAAAATTTGCTAGTAATGTCATTTTGGCCTTTGATTATCATCCGCCAAGAGAAATTGTGGTTAGAAAGTAGAAGTTTATTGTTTTATAATTTAATTTTTAGGGTTTCTCTATGGATACAATTGAATACCGCAAAATGTATTCAGGATCTTCTAATTAAAATTATAATTGTATTTTTTTGACGTTGTGAATGATTAATACATTTCTAAGTATAAAGTGTAATTGAAACCACTACTTTATTCCATTAATTTCGATGTTCTGAATGAAGTTTAAAATTAGAGAAATAAGACACAAAAATCATAACTTTCTAAATTGTGTAAATAACATTAAAATGATATGACCTAATAAGAATGACATAACTACTAGCATAAACATTTATCAATAAAAACTTAAAATTGACTAATTTAACTGAAAGGTTGTTACAAAGTATTTAAATACTTTGTATCTGTACCGAATTTAATTTTAACTTAATATATTTAACTGAATATTTTATATGTTTCTTAAATCACTACCTTTGGCTGTGGCCTCAGCAACCAGGTCGTTCAATTTTGTCCTTAGAGGGTCCAGTACCTTGTCCAGTTCGCTGTTGGCTTTGCCTTCCAGTTCAGCAGCTTCAGCTTTCACTTCTTCCACTGCTTTATCCAAAGCGGTTTGGGCTGATGTCAGTGCTTTGTCGATTACATCCATCAATTCGTGGAATGCTTTCTTAGCCTCATCTTTGCTAGATTTCAATTGAGTGCCACCCAAGTTCTGTCATTAAAACAAAATAAAATTATCACAAACTTTTTAAATCAGTAATTTATTCCATTAATTTCGATGTTCTGAATAAAGTTTAAAATTAGAGAAATAAGACACAAAAAATTAATATAAACATTTACTAAAATATAAATTTAATTGCTTACAACTAAGGTCTTTTAATTGTTTTCTTAATACAAAAAAAATCCATCAGGATATCTTGAGTACGTTCGAAAATATATCAAAGTGCGTACAGATTGCAAAATCTGCCACATCTTTAGTAGCATCATCTCCAGCTTTCTTCAATTTATCAGTAAAACACTGTTCCAAAACTGGAACAATTTCAGTTACTAATGCTGTAGCCTTCGTTACATCTTCTGCGATATGGGCTGGAGCATCTTTAGTATCTATCTTTCTCGATTTCTTCAATAATTTTGGCGTAGCATTTGCTTTTTTTTGACTTCGTTTCCACTGCAGTTATTGATGTCAGAATCAATAGTGTTTAGGTCTTCTTCGGTCTTCTTGATGCTGTTCAATGCATCGTTCACGTATCCTTGGGCCTTTTGGACTTGATACTGGTAATACATTCTCCCAAATCGGTCACTAGTTGGTCTGGAACGTTCGAGAAATCGTCGATGTAGCTTTGGCAGTTGGACACATCAAAACCTGAAAAGAGATAATAAAAATTGATATTAAAAAATTAGGCTCCATTTAGAACCTCGAAATTAGTCGTTTTAATTAGCGGTAGTAATTTTCAACTAGTAGAAAAAGTTAACACACTTTTAATTTTTTTAGTAACTGTACTTCCAAATATACGAGTAATGTCATTTTGGACTTTGATTTTTATCCGTCAAGAGAAATTGTGGTTAGAAATCAAAAGTTAGTAGTTTTGTAAGCTATATAACTATTAAGCTATCTCTATGGTACAACTGGATACCGTATGCTGTAGCTAGGATATTCTATTCATTTTAATTGTATTTTTTCACATTGTGAATGATCATACATTTCTAAGTATAAAATATTAAGCTTTATTCAGAACCTCCAAATTAGTGGAATAAATTAGTGGTTTCAATTAGCGTAGAAGTTTATTCCTCCAATTTAGAAATCAAAAGTTTATTATTGTTTTATAAGATAAATATTAGACATTCTCTATGGATACAACTGACTACCGCAAGCTGTTGCTAAGATATTCTATTAATTTTAATTTGCGTTTTTTAGACATTGTGAATGATTTTGTAAACTAAAAAGTATAAAGTGTAACTGAAACTACTAATTTATTCCACTAATTTTGATATTTTGAATGAAGCTTAAAATTAGAGAAATAAGACACAAAAATTTAATATAAACATTTACTAAAACATAAATTTAATTGCTTACAGTTAAGGTTCTTTAATTGTTTTCTTAATATAAAAAAATCAATCACGATAATTTAAGTACGTTCCAAAAAATATATCAAAGTGCAGCACAGATTGCAAAATCTGCCACATCTTTAGTAGCATCATCTCCAGCTTTCTTCAATTTATCAGTAAAGCACTGTTCCAAAATTGGAACAATTTCGGTTACTAATGCTGTAGCCTTTGTTACATCTTCTGCGATATGAGCTGGAGCATCTTTAGTATCTTTCTCGATTTCTTCGATAATCTTGGCGTAGCATTTGATTTTTTGAATTCGTTGCCACCACAGTTATCGATGTCAGAATCAATAGTGTTTAGGTCTTCTTCGATCTTCTTGATGCTGGTCAATGCATCGTTCACGTACCCTTGGGCCTTTTCGACTTGAGTGGTGATACATTCTCCCAAATCGGTCACTAGTTGGTCTGGAACGTTCGAGAAATCGTCGACGTAGCTTTGGCAGTTGGACACATCAAAACCTGAAAAGAGATAATAAAAATTGATATTAAAAAATTAGGCTCCATTTAGAACCTCGAAATTAGTCGTTTTAATTAGCGGTAGTAATTTTCAACTACTAGAAAAAGTTAACAAACTTAATTTTTTAGTAACTGTACTTCCAAATTTACGAGTAATGTCATTTTGGACTTTGATTTTATGCGTCAAGAGAAATTGTGGTTAGAAATCAAAAGTTAGTAGTTTTGTAAGCTATATAACTATTAAGGCTATCTCTATGGTACAACTGGATACCGTATGCTGTAGCTAGGATATTCTATTCATTTTAATTGTATTTTTTCACATTGTGAATGATCATACATTTCTAAGTATAAAATATTAAGCTTCATTCAGAACCTCCAAATTAGTGGAATAAATTAGTGGTTTCAATTAGCGTAGAAGTTTATTCCTCCGATTTAGAAATCAAAAGTTTATTATTGTTTTATACAGTAAATATTAGACATTCTCTATAGATACAACTGAGTACCGCAAGCTGTTGCTAGGATATTCTATTAATTTTAATTTGTGTTTTTTAAACATTGTGAATGAATTTGTAAACTAAAAAGTATAAAGTGTTAAAATTGAAACTACTAATTTATTCCACTAATTTTGATATTTTGAATGAAGCTTAAAATTAGAGAAATAAGACACAAAAATTTAATATAAACATTTACTAAAACATAAATTTAATTGCTTACAGTTAAGGTTCTTTAATTGTTTTCTTAATATAAAAAAATCAATCACGATAATTTAAGTACGTTCCAAAAAATATATCAAAGTGCAGCACAGATTGCAAAATCTGCCACATCTTTAGTAGCATCATCTCCAGCTTTCTTCAATTTATCAGTAAAGCACTGTTCCAAAATTGGAACAATTTCGGTTACTAATGCTGTAGCCTTTGTTACATCTTCTGCGATATGAGCTGGAGCATCTTTAGTATCTTTCTCGATTTCTTCGATAATCTTGGCGTAGCATTTGATTTTTTTGAATTCGTTGCCACCGCAGTTATCGATGTCAGAATCAATAGTGTTTAGGTCTTCTTCGATCTTCTTGATGCTGGTCAATGCATCGTTCACGTACCCTTGGGCCTTTTCGACTTGAGTGGTGATACATTCTCCCAAATCGGTCACTAGTTGGTCTGGAACGTTGGAAAAACCGTCGACGTAGCTTTGACACGTGGATACGTCAAAACCTGTAATAGAAATAATAAAAATTAAGTTATGTTAATAAGTTAAGCTTTATTCAGAGCCTAGAAATTAGTCATTTCAGTTAACGTAGAGGTTTGTTCCCTTAATTTCAATGTAATCATTCAGAACGTCAAAATGTGTAAGGGGGCTATAAACCTCGAAATTAGTGGTATAAATTAGTTGTTTCAATTATACTTTATACTTAAAAGTTAATGTCATTTTGGCCTTTGATTATCATTCGTCAAGAGAAATTGTGGTTAGAAAGTAAAAGTTTATTGTTTTATAATTTAATTATTAGGGTGTCTCTATGGATAAAACTGAATACGGCAAAATGTATTCAGGATCTTCTAATTAAAATTATAATTATTGTATTTTTTTGACGTTGTGAATGATCATGCATTTTTAAGTATAAAGTGTAATTGAAACCACTAATTTATTAAATTAATTTGGATGTTCTGAATGAAGTTTAAAATTAGAGAAATAAGACACAAAAATCATAACTTTCTAAATTGTGTAAATAACATTAAAATGATATGACCTAATAAGAATGACATAACTACTAGCATAAACATTTTTATCAATAAAAACTTAAAATTGACTAATTTAATTGAAAGGTTGTTACAAAGTATTTAAATACTTTGTATCTGTACCGAATTTAATTTTAACTTAATATATTTAACTGAATATTTTATATATTTCTTAAATCACTACCTTTGGCTGTGGCCTCAGCAACCAGGTCGTTCAATTTTGTCCTTAGAGGCTCCAGAACCTTGTCCAGTTCGCTGTTGGCCTTGCCTTCCAGTTCAGCAGCTTCAGCTTTCACTTCTTCCACTGCTTTATCCAAAGCGGTTTGGGCTGATGTCAGTGCTTTGTCGATTACATCCATCAATTCGTGGAATGCTTTCTTAGCCTCATCTTTGCTAGATTTCAATTGAGTGCCACCCAAGTTCTGTCATTAAAACAAAAATAAAATTATCTTAATTTTGTGTTCTTTGATTCTGAAGAAGACTGACTTATTTTACTTACGATCATTTACTATGTTTAACAAAATAGAAATAAAATTAACAGAATATTCTAGCAACAGCTTGCAGTAGTATGTTGTATTTATAGAGAAACCCTAAGAATCTATACTAATATATAAAATCCTTAAGTGACTGACATACTGATTAATCACGATCCTGCTCAAACCACTCAACGTAAGAAGCTGAATTTTGGCATACAGGTTGATTCTAGGGTGTAGAGGTTCGATAAGAAGGGATTTTTCGAAATTCCAGTTCCAAGGGGGTGAAACCGGGCAAGTTTGCAGAAAAACGCTTAAACGCGTATATTTTATTTTGTTTTTTACATATTTTAAGATTTTTTAAAAATGTATACAGGGTGTTTCGAAAAATCTGGTCATTGATTAATCACGATCCTGCTTAAAGCGCTTGATGTAAAAAGCTGATTTTTGGAAAACAGATTGACTTTAGGGTGTAGAGGTTCGATAAGAAGGGATTTTTCGAAACTCAAATTCTAAGGGGGTGAAACTATCCCTCTTAAAATTGGGGTGAAAAACTCTTAAACACGTATATTTTATTTTGTTGTTTTACATATTTTAAGATTTTTTATAAATTTATACAGGGTGTTTCATAAAATATGACCATTGAGTAATCACGATTCTGCTTAAACTTTAAAGCTGATTTTTGGCAAACGGATTGACTGTGAAGTGTAGAGGTTCGATAAGGAGGGGTTTCTCGAATCTCAAATTCCAAGAGAGTGAAAACGCCCCTCAAATATTACAATATTTGTTATTTAAAAAACGGTTAGTCTTTCGGGAAAACGCTTGGACAAGCATAATTAATTTGGTTTTTTTACATATTTTGAAATTTTTTAAAAAATCATACAGGGTTTTCCAAAAAGTTGAGTAACTTCTTAACCACGATTCTGCTTAAACTGCTTGACGTAAAAAGCTTATTTTTGGCAAACGGATTTTTCGAAAATCAAATTCCAACAAGATGAATCTACCCCTCAAATATTACCAAGTTATATAATAATATCGCCATATGGTTTTTTTTCATGCTGACATAAATGTAAGAAAATTTTATCCAGTTTGTATGTTAATGGCAATTCTTACTTTGCTTTATCACCATTACAAATGATTAATTCGACGCGAACGAAGTCGCTGGTACACGCTAGTTAACTTATAAAACAATACACTTTTGATTTTTAACCATAATTTCTCTTGACCGAATTAATAAAGTTTTTTAACTAATTGAAAATTACTACCACTAATTTTAACGTTCTGAATTCATACTGAAATTAGAGGAACAAACTTCTACACTAATTGAAACCACTAATTTCTTCCGCTAATTTTGAGGTTCTCAGTGCAACTTTATATTGGTTTTAGAATTTTAAAAAACTTACCTGTTGAACCAAGCAAGCACCAATTATTAAAATTATGACAAATTTACTCATCTTGAGCGATTTTTGAATTAACTGTAGATATTAATGGTAAGAACTAATAAATTGTTTATATCTCTGCTGATTTATATACCTGTGTTTATATATTTTTTTAAATAGGGTAAATGGGGATTTTTTTTCTTATCGTCCGATGAGTTTTCGATGTAAAATTTAAAAATAACAGGTAAACGTTTACTATTGTTTAACAAACGTTAAACAACACACTTGAAAGTATTATTATATACAAAATTCAATTGCTGTTTACTCATACTTGTTGCAAAAGTTATAAGTGATAAGAAGAGATCAAAATCATTATTTTTTTAATAAGTATGCCTCATTATGAGAATACTGAAAAGAGAATCAAAAATTATAAAAGTGTTTTTTTTCCTTTTTGTCTATGTATTTATTTTTTCATTAGTTAATCGTTTATATTTCGAATTTATCATTGCTACAAATAAACACTTGTTTTTGTTTACAAATCGTTTCATTGTATTGCAATTTTTATAAAATTGATAGGAAATTAATTAAAGTTTGTTATTTATTTACCTAATATAACTAATATATTTGTAAATACTTGAAATAAAGTAATTTTTTATAATTTTGATAAAGATTAAAGTAAATTAGAAATTTCAATAAAGATGGTTCTGTTTATCTTTATGGAAATAAACATATTAAACCATTTTAATTTTTATAGTTTAAGTAAATGCAGTTTATGATAACATATACCTTAATATCTGAAAAACAAGTAGGTTTTAAGTAGGTATATATAGTTCCACATATATGTCTATAATTAAATAAAGTGTATATCTTATACATATACCTACAAGCTTTAAACAATCATGTTAAAATATTCAGTTATTTTGATTGTTTTTATGGCCATCATTCAATATGTAAGTATATTATTATTCTTTTAGTTTAACTGACATTGCTTTCTTTTTACGTTTTTTTTTATTTATGTTACTATCCATATTCACTATGTTCAGGGCTATGGTAAAAATAACCAATATGGTGATACAAAAGATGATTTGGAGAAGGCCTTCCATGAATTGATGGACTTAGTCGATGCGGCACTCACAACTGCTGAGGACACCTTGAATGCTGCACTTCAAGTTGTAAAAGATGAAGCCAGCGAGCTGGAGGCAGATGCCAACAGCCAATTGGATGAGATTTTGGATCCGTTAAGAACAAAATTGAATGACCTCATACAGAAAGCTAAAGATTTAGGTATTATACAATTTTGTTCGATAATTTTGAGTATATATAAATATATATTTTTACATATAACTACACAAAAATTCTGAGGTTAATTAAAGCATAAAAATGTAGTTACTGATCCAAGATTAGGGATACCCAACTGGCGTCCCTGAAATCCCGGGATCCCGAAAATCTCGAAAAATTTAAATATCCAACCTAAAGTGATTCGACTTTATACACTTTCGTCTTTCAAAGATCATAATATTTTATTTATACTAAGTAGAACGTGAATATCTAAAAGTTATATTTCCCTGTTTGCTAGACCGATTTTTTCACAACAAGAATTTTATTGTATTTTTTACTTACTAAATATGAATGTTACACTTTGTTTTGTCTATTTTAATAAAGCATTTTTCTCACTTTTTATATACAGGATGGTCCGAACTGTATTCCGGAAACTTTGGCAGCATATTCTGCAGATAAAAATAAATAAAAAAGTTCGTATAATACATTTATACGTTGTGAAATGCTTAGTTTCGATGTAGAAGTGTCATTTTTATTTCGATTTTTTCAAAATAATTTATGAAGTAACGTTAATATTTGGATGAAAATTGGCCCCTAGGAGTTTTTTTACATGAGAAATTTGATTTTGATGTCAATATAACTCCTACTGGTAGAGGGCGCCACCTACATATTTTTTAACTGGTTTGAAGAGTAATAACTTTTCGTTCGTATGTGCATAAAAGTACTGGGCAAAAAATATACATTTACGACGTTTTTTACATAAAAAAGTCTCTGGGTAAAATCGCTACGAGCAGTGGTTCTCGAGATATTTGGAATCGAAATTGTCGATCATTGACATAAATTAAAAATGTTGACTAAATAGTTATTAATAATTATATATACCCTACCAAAGCCTTCTTAGCTCCATCTACGGTAACGTGGATGAAGCAAGCATGTTTGTCCAGTAGGCCGCTGGTTTTAATTTTGGCGGTACAATCTGTGATTGTCACAGCTGCCGCTTGATGGCGTAGAGCGTCTAGCACTCTCGCCATAGTAGTACTTATTGTACTCAAATGCTACTCTCTGCTTTTCGTTAGTCAGATCGAGGGTTACAGCAAAGTCGGCCTGACGATGGAGAAAAATCTCCGAAACCCGTCGTCGAATGGCTATTCCCTTCAGTCTGATGAACTTAATGCAGAGAATAAGCATATATGTAGCAGGGTTGCCACAAGCTACACAATTGTGTATTTTGCTACACATTTGCTACCATGATTGCACAGCTACACCACAATCGCCTGTGCTACACATTTTGAGAATTTACATATTTCTTATAAAAAATAATACCTAAACAGTAAATCAGCTGACAAAAGCTGTTTTTTTTTGCTTTTAAGTTATCTAAGTTACATTAAAAGAGGCCGCAAGTAAACTTTAAATTTTGAACCGACAAATATCATTTTCCGATGTTTTCCGTCATCAGTGTTCAGGTGTTCAGTAAAATGTCAGAGTATGAACTGGATCATGAATCAAGGACCGTCTATTGGTCGAGTCAAAAACGGTAAATAGACAGGATCAAAGAGACAGGATTGTTTAATTCTTTAAATAATACATAACACCTCTGATAACACGTACTTTCGTTAGGTTTGCACAATTACGTCATCGTTACGTCACACTTCCACTCGTAGGCATACGTGAATAATATTCAATTCCTATTTCACTTCCTCCCATATCAGCAAGAACTGCAGTTTATATGGACAAATTTGGCCGATTAAACAGTCCTGAATTGTTTACAATTTTTAAACAGACTAACCGGTCTAATTTGTCCATAAAATCGTTAGTTTCGTTTTCGTGACATCAATTTTGACGTAGTTGCTGGGGCGGGGGGGGGGAGGGGGTGAATATATTGACGTATACAAACGAGTGAAAGTGAGACTCGTATTCATGCTTTAAAATTTGGCGAACGTACGTCTTTTTCTTGGCCTTATTGGATAGTTTACAATTATTGGTCATGGATGGCTACACAATGCTACACATTTTTATGGTCAAGTTCTACACAATCAAAAATTTTCTTGTGGCAACCCTGATATGTAGGGTTTTTTGGCCCCTTTTTCCGCTACTCGTATTTTTGTTTATTTATTATATATACCCTACCTAAGCCTTTTTAGCTCCATCTACGGTAACGCGGATGAAGCAAGCAAAAATATTTATTAGACTGAAATCACAGATTTGCAATGTTTTTGTGATCATTTTTTCGCAGAAAAATTTATGATTATTTTTTTTTATTTCTGTCAAATAACTACATTCTCAACGTGTTTATTTTTTGTCAATAATGATATGTATTGACTCTTTCTATTTTATATATATCTTGAGAACGGTTGCTTGTAGCGATTTTTACCAAGAGACATTTTTTACGTAAAAATTGTGTAGATGTATATTTTTTACTCAGTAGTTTTATACAGGTACGGACGAAATGTTATTACTCTTCAAAACAGTTAAAACACATGTAGGTGGCGCCATATTGTATATAAGTAGGAGTCATATTGACATCAAAATCAAAATTCTGATGTTAAAAAACTCCCAGACACCAACTTTCATCCAAATATTGGCGTTACTTCAGAAATTAATTGGAAAAAATCAAAATAAAAATGAAATTTCTACACCCTGTATCTCCAAAACTAAGCATTTTAGGACATACATTTACACGAACTTTTTTGCTTATTTTTATCTTCAAAATATGCTGCCAAGGTTTCAGGAATACAGTTTGGACCACTCTGTATGTAGCTGCACTTTTATTAAGTATTTATTTAGATTAAATTTCTCATTTTGATAGTCAATCCTGGGATCCCAAGATCCCGGGATTACAAAACGAGATTCCGATACCGAAAATTGTAAATTCTATCTAAGACCATATAATATAAATAGACAAATTCTGATACCTTTCAGGTATCGATGTAACGAAATGTCAAAGTTACGTCGACGACTTCGACAACATTCCAGACAAGCTGGTTACTGACTTGGGCGGTTGCATCACCACCCAAGTGGAGAAAGCTGAGAAATACGTCACTGACGCCATAGACAATATAAAGAAGATCGAACAGGACCTCAACAGCATCGATACGGAAATCGATGACTGCAGTGGAAATATCTTCGAAGAAGTCGAATGTTACGCTAAACTCGCTATTAAGATTGCTGACGATACTGTGCAAGTGCCAGCGAAGATTGCTGCCGATGTTGCGGCTGCAAAAGCTTTAGTTGTTGGCATTGTACCGATTTTGGAGGCTTGTTTGACTGGTAAGGTGAGCGATGCTGGTACGCAGGCTGCTAAAGACGTTGCTGACTTTGCAGTATGTGCTGCTTTAGATTAGGAATATACAGAGAAGACCAGGCTACTAGTAACATAGCAAGTTGCCGGACGAATTTACGTTTGCCCGTTTTGCGTTCGTACTCGAGAGTCACTGCCGGCTAGTCGGCTGGTCAGGCAGTACGCAGTTGCAGTTGTGCTTGGACGGGTCGGTCGTGACAGACTAGGAATATGGCGCGAGGAGTGCCGAGTATTTATTATTTTCATTTTAAGTGTTTACCTTCACTTAAGGTAACATTTTAAATAAAAATACTTAAATATTTATTATTTGAGTGTGTTTACAAGCCAAAACTAAAAATAAATAAATTCTCTAAACCCAAAAAAAACTATAATATTACTCTAAATAAAAAAAGTTATAACAAGTGTTCATGTTGGCTAACATATTAGGGCTAATAGTTTGGAAAGCCTCTCGTATTTTTACTTGAAGCTCATCCAGATTATTAGCCCTATTATGACCATACACCTTGGATTTTATATAACCCCACAAAAAGAAATCATTGGGGGAAAGATCTAGCGGGCCACAAAATAGTTCCATGTCCACTAATTAAATGGTTGGGAAAAGTATTGTTCAAATATTCTTGAACAATACGGGCATTGTGGGAAGGGCAACCAACCAGCAATTTGATTACTGGAAAACCCGGGATTTTGATCCGCGGTAGCACAAACGAACACTTGCTTTAACTCCTGTTCTTCTTTAATCAACACATCAGGCTTTTTGTGTTTTTGTGGGACACGCACCCATGTGTTTCAAAATTATTAATAACTCTTGATATAGTAGATAAAGATGGAATTGGCCTGTTTACATAAGTTTGTGGAAAAATTGTTTGTATATCCCGATAAGACCTATTTTGGAAATACCATTTTACAATTTTAATTTTCTCACGAACTTCATAAACATCCATTATTTTACTTAAAAAATAAATTTTACACGAGAACTGTCTACGTATTCGTTTTGGCTATTAAAACACGATTAAATACAAATTCTGAGACTTTCTTATCACATATCGACCTATTTTTATTTTATCGCATTTTTTCACCTGCTTTTTATCCGGCGGACGGGTATACGCTAATTCGTCCGGTTCTGTCTATGTTACTACTACGGTGGTCCGGTCTGTATATTATGTGCTATTGATTGTTACTTTAATCAGGATTTTTTTATTAGGTTACTATTACACTATCAAATTTGTCAAACATTTTATTTTGCCAAAGAATTTGACAGTGTAATACATGTGATTTTATAAAATATTGTATATTAACACTGTCAAACTTTTTGTCAAATATCTTTTATAAAAGATTTTTGACAAAGAAATTTGATAGTGTAAAAGCCTTAGATACATATTGTGTTCCAAGTGTAAATAATACTATAGAGTTAATAATAAACTATTTTTGTACTTCATTTTTATTTTGTTTAAGGGAGATGTAAAAAATTGACTTCGTGAAGTGATTTTATAAATAGATACAAAATTCATGCTATGTTCAAAGAACTTCCATTTTTTAAAAGATTTTACCGTATGATCGAAAAAAACGGCGTCCAGTTAGCTTGGAAATGAACATCGATAACATTCCCCGTATAATTTTACATATAAAATGACAGCGTCCTTCATTATTTAATAGCCATCGCTGATGCCGTTTTTTTCGATCATTTGGTATTATACAGTTACTATAGCGATCAATTAAAAAATTCAAATATTTTTTAAATTTTACATGTGATTTCCATATTTTTTTTAGGGAGGGGATTTTGATTTAGGATATTAAAAAAAAACAGTGTGTATATTAAATAATTGTATACGTTTATAAAACATTACATAATAAAAAAGTTACAAAATATAATAATGAATCTAGTATAAAAATACTTCGATAAAATCCATAATAAAATAAAAAAGGCAAATATAAAATCTGAAATATCTATACATAACGTTCATCGTGTAAAAAATATACTATGGCGGTAAGAAGAAAAATAGTGATATTGGTAATGTCACTAAAATACATTATTAATCAAAATATAAGCGAGAAATACAATATTTCTGTGTTCTTATTACTAAGATAATAGCCATGGGACTCGCTTATATATTTAATTAATAATTATTTTTTAATTATATAAACATTATCTTAACTTCTCCGCTGCATATATAATTACAATCCTAAAACTTATAATATACGACTAAAAGTATATTCTTGGTCTCCTAATTTTATGTCTTTCAAAAGAACACAGTACAAGTGGGCAGCAATAACGCAAGAATAAAAATATTAGCAATTCAACCAACTAGTTAAACAGTTAAATGAGATCCAAAACAAAAAAATAAAAGAATAAAAATCCCTACAAACCCATGGCAATCTTGTCATTTAAGAAATAAAGTGGTCTAAACTATTATGTTACATAAAAAAATATTAACAAAAATACTGAAATATTATCAAAATTCGACAAATACATATAACACAATCATATATTATATTATTTTAGACTATAAACGTTCCTGTTCTTAAATTTTAGTTAAAACATTGTAATTTTTTTGTATCATATTTAAATAAATTACTACCAGTATTTCTTTTATCTTTTTATACAAGTATATACAGGGTGTTTCAAAAAACATGTGCTGTCTCTCGTGGGGAGATTCTAATTTTTTTCTATATAATAAACTATAATACAATAATAAATCATAAAATTATTAAGACTTTACCACACTGCAGCTACGAAACAAAGCAGAATCTGCCCTATGTTGATATGAAAAATAAATCTTATTTTTACGTGTTTTTTAAACACCCTGTATATTTGGGATGATATCTATACATGTATACTATCATATATAAATATGATAATTATATATGATATCATATATAAAGAAACTCAGTTTTAAAATGATATATCCATTGTGCTATATTAATATTTTGAACATTTTCTAATCATTTTCATAGAGTATTATCGGTAAATTCAAGAAAACAGATCTTTTGTTAAAACGAGTATTATAAATATCTATAAAATAAACAACAAACATCAAGACAAAGTATAAAATGTCATAAACTAAAGATTCATCTAAATTATATACCTATAAGGTTTTTTTGTACTCACCTTATAACAACATTTTTTAAACTAAATTATTATAAAATGACAGAAGACATGTCAAAATCAGTAGTGAGTATTTGAAGGTAAATGGTTACGAATCTATTTAAGAACTACGTTATGGTAAACATTCTACTACATACATATACAGGGATCTTTAAAAATATAATATAAATAACAACTATATAACTATATTTCATCTAAACATGATTTTCTCTAAACGGACGGTACATCTAGGTGTATATATTTATAAAAATGTATATTGTCATATATCGTTGTTCGAATGCGTTGTTGCATTTTACATAATTAATTAAACCTAAAGAAAAAAGACACAGGGTGGCATAATACTTTATATTAGGAAATAGGTATGCTTAAAAATAAACACCAAAATTAATAATAGTCCACCCTGTATTTAACAAAAATAAAAGTTACTCCTAATATACAGACATATACATTAACGTTTTAACGGCAATAAATAAAATAATATATTATTATAAAAATAACACTAAAAAGTACATGCAAAATAATAATACAGAAATGGCAAGAAAAAATTTAGGCAGATTTTCACTAACTTAACGTCTCTTTTTAAATTAATTTCACAATTAATAATCACAGCACATTATTCGTTACAAATAATAATATAACAAAACAAAAGTAGCTTGTACCTGTAGGAACCTGTATGCAAATTTTCGTAAATACGTGAATTACAGAACAATTCATTGACTTTATATGTGTGTGTGTATGTTTATGTGTGTTAATTGTAATGGTCATTTTTTTTAATTACACAGCATAATATTGTTATAATTTGTTGGTAGTAAAATATTTTAAGTATTTTGTAAGTATATAATTTTTTATTAGAATAAATTCAAGTAAATATACCATTCGTGAAATATCTTGAAGAGGTTTAGAGACTAAGAATAGCAACAATTTTTTTAAAATTTAATAATTTTGCATGGCCAAATTATATACATACAGTGTCCAATAATTTGGACACTTCGGAGTGGCCAGAAACTAATTTTGTCCCTTTACAGTGGCCAATAATTTAGACAATTTAGGGTGATCATAAACTGGTGTGGGAACTATTATGTCAATAATTTCGGCATTTTAGGGAGGCCAGTAACTGATTTGGGCAGTCTACAGAGTCCAATAATTTGGATACTTGCATGTCCAATATTTTGTATAATTCGGAGTGACCAATAACTGATTCGGACGCTCTGCAGTGTCCAATAATTTGGGCACTTCGGATTTGTCAGAATCTAATTTGGTCCCTTTATAGTGGCCAATAATTTAGACAATTTAGAGTGATCATAAACTGGTGTGGGAACTACTGTGTCAATAATTTCGGCATTTTAGGGAGGCCAATAACTGATCCGGGTAGTCTACAGTGTCCAATAATTTGGATACTTCTAGGTCTAATATTTTGGATAATTCAGAGTGACCAATAACTGATTCGGACTCTCTGCAGTGAGCAATAATTTGGACACTTCGGAGTGGCCAGAATCTAATTTGGTCCTTTACAGTGGCCAATAATTTAGACAATTTAGGGTGACCATAAACTGGTGTTGGGAACTACTATGTCAATAATTTCGGCATATTAGGGAGGCCAATAACTGATTTGGGCAGTCTACAGTGTCCAATAATTTGGATACTCCTATGTCCAATATTTTGGATAATTCAGAGTTACCAATAACTGATTCGGACACTCTGCAGTGAGCAATAATTTGGACACTTCGGAGTGGCCAGAATCTAATTTGGTCCCTTACAGTGGCCAATAATTTAGACAATTTAGGGTGATCATAAACTGGTGTGGGAACTACTATGTCAATAATTTCGGCATATTAGGGAGGCCAATAACTGATTTGGGCAGTCTACAGTGTCCAATAATTTGGATACTCCTTGTCCAATATTTTAGATAATTCAGAGTGACCAATAACTGATTCGGACACTCTGCAGTGTCCAATAATTTGGACACTTTGGATTGGCCAGAATCTAATTTGGCCCCTTTACAGTGGCCAATAATTTAGACAATTTAGGGTGATCATAAACTGGTATGGGAACTACTATGTCAATAATTTCGACATTTTAGAGAGGCCAATAACTGATTTGGGCAGTCTACAGTGTCTAGTAATTTGGATACTTCTATGTCCAATATTTTGGATAATTCAGAGTGAACAATAAGTAACTGATTCCGACACTCAGCAGTGAGCAATAATTTGGACAATCTATAGTGATCATTAACTTATTCGGATACAAGTACGTATGTCCTAGTAATTTGAACACTTTAGGGTGGCCAGTAATTTGGACATGCTCCGGAAAAATAACTATTGCTATAAAAACAAACTATTTATAAAATTAATTAGGTAATATTTTATATATTAATATTTTATAAAGATTAAGCAAGGAGTCGAAAACTATTTCTTATTCATACATCAGAGACGGAAGCCACTTTAAAATTTTTCTAAATTTTTAGTTTAAGGGTGACAACCTCTTACTCTTAAAATACTAGTACTACGCTATAAAGTTTAAATATTTTTGCTGTGTAATCAATTTTTTTTAATAATATTGCTTAAAACTCTCACTGTATGTGAGTAAATCAATAAAATCTTAATCACAGTCGTACAGTCAAGAATTAATCAATATCTCTTTTGTCTCAACTTGACCATTAATATATTTTTTTAAGTTTTGTTTCTATAATTGTATAATCCTATACAATATGAACGTTTTTCATGTATTATTATTACTATATTTATTGTCCACAGGACAAAACATATTTGTATAATACCTAGAATAATTTAGGTACATAGTTTCGTGACAATAGCTTAACTCTTCAGTTTCAGAATTTGCCACTAAAGTATAAAATTTATATTTTATATAATTTGGAAGACAGATATTCGAGTTTACTCTAATTTGCAAATATATATCAAATAATCTTCAAAATTATATGAAGCTTTTTATCATCTCTGAATGCGAAATGAACAGAATACAGTTTTTTGTTATTAAATGATACAACATTACTTGGTACTATTTAGAACAATAATGTTTCCACAGAATTTAAGAAATTTTAGAATTAAATTTCTGTGATCACTTTATATACCATAGTTAATCTTACTATGACTATAACTAGCTTAACTTTTTTTTTAATTCTTTGCTGTCTTAACATATTCTACAGGGTGTTTCAGACGTTCACCAAAATATCAATATTTTGTTTTCCCTCGTATAATTGACAGATGTGAACTTTCATTTTTAAATTAGAAAGAGATACTAAAAAGCCAAATAATTTAGCTACATATTGCTTAAAAAAATCATCAAAATCGGCACGATAGAACAAAAAATATTAAACTTTAAAATATATCAATATTTTAAGATGCCCGTTCTTCGTGCTGTGTATATTATTCTAAATAGTCTAAGAAATAACATTCTGCAATGCTTCATACTTTTAAAGATTGTTGTACTTTAACTACTATATCGATTTAGAAGATTCGATTCTCATTGAGGTCAAGCTACCTTGATTTGGTTTTCGTTGAGGACACATTACCACCAGTTGCTGCGTTCTTCTGCGCTATATGCGTTTGGTAATGCTTGGCCAGGTGTGCTTTCTGCCTAAAAGTTTTACCACACAAACTGCAAGCGAACGGTTTCTCCCCTGTATGCGTCCTGATATGGACATTAACCGAATATTTGTCTTTGAAACCCTTCGAGCAGATACTGCAGTAGTGCAGTGATCTCTCTTTCCGAACTCCATTATTCGTTGAAGTGGGGTTCTGGAGGTTAGACTGTGATTTGTTTCCGCTATTTGATCTTTTGTATTTTTTCGTTGGTTTTGTGCTGGTTACCGTAGGTGTAGTGATCTGGATAGGCGAGGAAATGTTGTACAAAATCCCTATTTGGTCTGTGTTGATGTTGGTTTGAACTGTATTCTCCGCCGAGGAAGGGTTTATACAGAAATTCACCGATTCAGCTACTTCATTAGCTATTCGTTTTAATTTCTCGAAATCTTCCGAGTAAGGGTTATCAAGCTGACTTAGTAGAATGTCGTCCATACTGTGGGTGCTAGTAGGGTTTTCAGAACTCTCCATCGACCTGTTCGGAACTTGCTCTTCGAAAACTACCTTTCCATTTGCGTCAATTCCAGCAACTATCGTAGGTATATGCTCTGGTTCCTCCTTCGTTATATAAATCGTCTCTGTTTTGGTCGGTGATGCTGATAAACACCTTCGAAGCTCTACGTTGTCATCTGGAATTTTTGTCGGTTTAACCTCTCTATTGTATCGAACAAAAGCTTTCCCTTGTAATGCGTTCCGTAATAATGAATCCGAAGATCCATTTTGCTGAGTGTTATTGTTGTTCATCAGTTTCCAGTCATTGTTATTATTGTTGTTGAAGCTGTCATGTGCTTCAAGTAAGGGAGTGTCTATTATCAAAGAGTTTGCTAGTTCTTCCTTCCCGTTATCAGCGAAGCCACTGTCTTCGTAGGTGTAGGTTTCAGACTTGATCAAACCGTCAGTGTTCGGGCTCATTGTTCCGTCATTGTAGGTGTTGGGAAACGTGCAAATATGCGCGGGCATTATGCTCAAAATCGACTCGATATCCAGACCGGCTTGTAGGTGTTCCATCGAGCCAGGACTCGACATGGAAACGTCTTCTTCCTTGATGGTAATGGGCGGTCGGTACCACGTCGTGTTCTGGTCGATCCCGTTGAGTACCGTGAGTGTGGTGTATATCTGTCCATCCGTGTTGTTATTATTACTACTCCCGCTACTTGCGCTTTCTGGTTTGATCTGAACCACTCCGTTAGCCTCGTCGTTGGCCCAGTACTTGTTCAAGTCTTCTAAAATGGCAGTTTCGATTTTAACAGTGTCCTTTTCGCTCCACAAATTTGCATCGAAGGATGTGAGTGAGTCTGAGGTAGTGGTGGGGATCTCGGTGATGATCATGTTGTTGTTGGTCTCCCTGTTTTCCTCTCCGGTGCCGTTGCCGAGGAACGCGTTGACTGTGCGCATCTGTTTGGTGAACTGCTGTATGGACTGCGCGTCGTTGGAGTCCGGAGTTACGACAAAGTCGAAGAAGTCCGTCTTTGTCATGTCTTGGTCGGTTCGAAATGACTCTGTAACGTCCATTATCACAGGTTCTTTCAGCTCCATATATTGGAAAAGCTTGCGTTGGGGGGATTAGTGTTGCATTATTTCGTTGAGGGTGTTAGTGGGTTGAAGTCTTTGTGGTTTGGACGGATCTGCAACAAAAAGAGATACATAATTAGTGAAAAGTATCTAGAAATTGATTGTTTATAATATAAGTGGTTGATTATAATTACATTTTTTATAAAATTACCTCCCGCATGTATACTTGTGATGTGTATCATCAGTGTTTCACAAGTACAAGCCAGTTTATTACAGAGTATATTACGTAACCTTAAAAACAGAAAAATTGATCTAAATTAAATAAGACACTTTATATATTTGGTTTGTTGTACAATTTATTTAGTGTAAGATTTATTTTTAAAAAATATTATATATTTTCTTTGATTCAAAATATAATAATAATTCGCCAAATTATCATCTATATATAATAATATAATTGTATGGTACCTATAAACATTATAGATATTTTATCATAACAGTACATTATTATTGCATTATTGGCATGTTTAAATCAATGTTACGTGTATTGATAAACTCGTGCCATGATTATGTTTATTGGTCGCTAGACAAACATCAGATCTAGATGCAAAAATATCGATCCGAAGGTTAAGTTGTTCTCAAAATGTTTTGTGACATGTGATATCACTGTTTAGCACTAAACTGCATTATCTACTGGGTATATTAAATAAAATATATTAGATAAATTTATTATTAAATTTAGAGGGATAAAATTATTTTTTACGAATTTTCCAAACACCTGGCATTGTTTTCGGTGAACATATAATGAGTACCTATAGATATCATAAGTACCTATCACCAATAAAGAAAAAAAAAACAGTGAAAAAAAATATCGTGAACAAAAAAACAATGTTGAATTGTTGGATTTTTCTTCATTCAGTCTTTTACAAGATTTATGATGTTATAGCATGTTACAGCTACAAAAAAAATGTAAAAATGGTTCTTCTAGCGGTACTTCTGTCTATTAGTCCTAATCTTTAAGGCACACCTCGTGCGGATTAAAAACTCTTTGGTACAAAAATCTTTCACACCATCAAATTCTTCCAGATGAACAGACCTTAAAGAATCTTATGGGAAATTGAACTTTTCGTACGTACCACATCTTACTGATTTATTCCCATTTCATAGCATTAAAATTAGATATTTCTTTTTTTAATTGTATAACGTAGAAAGGTTGAAGAAAGGTGGGTCCTTACTTGAATAAGCCTTAATGAACGGATCTTTATTTATTAAAATGCGATTAGTGAAAAATAGAGTTTTAACAAAAACATAAAGCGATAGGATATAGTATAAAGATACAGAAAAACATACAGGATACACTTAAGATGGATACAAGCCAATATCTTGATTGTTTGTTGAGCGATCTTTTTCATTTTTGGCAGGAGGCTGTATGGCTATAAGACGTACATTTTGCCCAGGGTATGAAATGCCATACCTCATAGACGTACGTTTTAATGGGGTTTGATATTTTCGAAGTCAAGAGTAAACTACCCTTAGGACAGTATTTATTTCAAATCTGATAAATTATATTGAATCCTCCTTACCTAAGATACTTAAGTTCTAATTTTGATAAATATTTATACAGGGTGCGTCATTAAAATAAGACATTTTTATTTTTATTATTATTTTTTTAAGTACTTACGACGCCACTGGATAAAAAACAGGTTACAATAACAGGTTACAACAGGTTACTATAACCAATTATCAATTAATAATCGATTTAAGTTTTCAGATAGCTTCCATAATAATTAAGATACGATACAATGAAACTAAATATTTTCAATTTATTTTGTTTACTTTAAAAAATTGTTTTTTAAGTTTGCTAATACAAATGAATAAAATGAGTTACAAAATGATTTAAAAGCCCAATGGAATATGAAATATGATTTTTATTCGTTTTATTGAGGAATATTTTAAAAAATCCAAAAATATTTAAAACAATCACTATTAACTTTGAAAAATATGCTCTAAACAAAGATTTATAACACTATAACGAACTAAAAGTCAACATCTTCAACCAAACCACCATAAAAAACGTTTATTAATTGATAATTGGTTATAATTGGTTATTGATAATAAACCAGTTGTTTATCCAGTGGCGCCGTAAGTACTTAAAAAAATTATATGGGTGATCCACTTTTGAGAAACACCCGGTATAAATTATTTAAATTAAATCTACTGAAGCATCTTAAATTATTCATTAACAAAAGCAGTTATGGTATCAACTCAGCCAAACCTTTTCGGTAACTCATCGGATTATCAGTCCTTAAAAAATGCAAAGCCCTCGAAATATATCAAATTTTAATCCGAAATAAGTTGATTCTTTTTAAGGATCAGCCCAACCAGATTGCGAGTTCAGTTTAAAAAGGCCACATCTCTTGTATGATATAGAGCTCTATAAATTGTTTATATAGAACAAATCACAACAGAGATTTAAAGAAAGAAAGATATGCAGAGAGAAAGAAAGAGGGAGATAGAAAATGAAATCAAAGGAAAATAATTACCAATGATAATAATTAACTTACGTAATGTTTATCTTGATTAATAGACTATAATGAATTATTCTTTTAGCTTAGTACCGTGACCTCATTCTGTTATTTTTTTAATATGTGTAATATTTATTAAGCACAAAGATTGGTTGATATGATGACTAAAATTTACAATAATTTAAAGGGTATACCAGGACTGCAAGCTCACAAAAAACTTATGTCTTTTTTTGATTTAAATTATTTTAATGACTTAAGTCATTTGTTTTTAAGGCATTGTTTATATAGCAGATATAAAGATATCTGCGTCTTAACAATTAGCAGATATGTTACCGTAAATGTCCTAGGATAAGCGCAGTAAAACCTAGGATAAGCGCGCTAAACCTAGAATTTACCACCCCCCAAATACCCACGCTAACTAACTCGAAATGCGGTAAAACCTGCTAGGATTTACCGCATCGGACATTTACAGTGACAGATATAAGAATAGCAGAGTCTTAAGAATTAAAATTTAAGTAATTTTCAAAATGATTTGAGATTTACATCTTTATTCCGAAATTATGATAAATTTGCCCGTTTCATCAGCAAGAAAAAACTAAATTACTAAAATTATTAAGTATAACAATTATTATATAATTTTATTTCAAACAAAACAAGAAATTTAGAAAATAATCCACATAAAAAAATATTTTCTTGCAAATGTCACAAAAGTATTAAATTGTGCGACGTCATTGACATAATATAAAAAAGTAATTTTAACGCCTAGGCATAAAAGTAAATCACTTTTACGCCTAAGCACTAAAGTACGAAAATATACTGTTATACTGACATAAAGTGTCAAATTCAACGAGTGTAACCAGAGTTTCTCAATATATAATTACTTAGAAGGTATTACTTTTAAATCTTTTTATATATTTGCAACGTTTGAAATTGTTTAAAACATTCTTTGTGACGTTTTAAAAAAATAGCCTATTCTATTCGGAATAAAAATTACTTATTGTGCCTTGCTTGTCAAACGCACAGCCTCGCCACAGAGAGTATCATTTTTATCCTAATAAAACTATATATAGTAAACGCCACGAATGTTTGGGAGTGATTTGTCGCTTGATGAAGTTAGAATCGACACGCGCGCTACCATTTTTACATTAAAAACGTAAATTTTTACCGCAGACGTAGGTTTTTAAAGGCCCTAATCATCTACCTGCGCTCCTCCTACTTATTCTAAAATGTTAGCGTGATTGACAAAGACGATACTATATCGCGTTTCTTTGATTGATTCGTTTTTGTGCGTCAGTCCATTGGTGTGCTTGCAGTGCGACCAATGGGGCATTCCATTTTATATTTATAACCAAATATATGTTTTGACAAGACTTTGATAGTTAAAACAACAAATTACAACAGATTATATATTGATTATTATATGACTTGAAACACCACGGCACTGGAATTAAGTTTTATGTGACCTTGAACCGATTAGTTCACATGGTAGCGACCGATGAATCACTTCCAAACATTCGTGGCGTTTACTATACAATTATTAATAAATCAACACAAATGTGCATCGCTAAAAAAGGTATTAAGATGTATATACAGGGTGTCAAAAATAGGGTACCAAACTTCAGTGGGCGATTCGAGGAATACAGCTCTGGAAAGACTAAATAAAAATATTTAATATATTGTGTTTATTTTTAAGAATATTGATGAACCGTTTTCTTTGCAATTTGGTATTCTTACTCACATTTCTACAGCAACTACCATAAAAAGATTACAGAATAAATTAAAAACGGGAGCATATTTTTACGAAATTTTTTTTTACCAACTTTCATTGTTTTTACTTCCTGGAGAGTGATTTTACGCACAACCAAAGTATTTAGGATATAGGGATAATAAAATGCAACCATTAAGTTGGTTATGTGCATTAAATAATGAGATCTAATAGTAATGGCATGATAGCAAATCGTAAAATAGGTGTACAAATGCCGGTTTTATGGGATGTTTGAAAATCGATTTCATAGACAATTTGTTTGTAATGACCACTGCACTGTGCTGGTATTTTACCTTGAGTTTTTCATCTCATTATAAAGAAAATATACTTTAGAAATTCGGAATTTTCTGTTTTTTTTTACGTTAATATGCCGAATTTATGATTTAACCAATGTTTTTATGATTTTAAGCATGTTTTATTTTTTATCTCGAAAAATATTAGAGGTTGGTATAGGTTAGTAAAAAAGAAAAATTTTGCGATATGGAAGAAGTTTCGAAAAATATAAAAATATACCGGTTGTTCCATTTAAAATAACCAAGATGCTGATACTTTTAGTATGAAGCGGCAACACTGTAATGGTGAAAGTAATTTAGACAGATGGAGCAAGTACCTTTATGTAAAAATCCAAATTTTAAAAAAAGTTCTAACACCGGTTCTCCATAGATATATCTAATGTACCATGGCAGTGAATCACCCTGTATAGGCTTGGTACATTCTCCGCCGGTGCTGCCCCCATCGGAGAATATCGTAAACAACTCGTACTTACAAATACATTAGTTTAACTAGCGAGAATACGAAAAATTTATTATTTAATTATTCTAAA